ACTGGCACACAAAGTTAACCAGGGGATGAATATTTATTTATTCAGCATGCACATGTACAAAAAGCCCTGGGTTCAATTCCCAGAACTGCAAAATACTATTACTGATGATGGTGTGGGGTATTTGTAATTTTCTTCCTTTCTTTCTCCACTCCCCACCTCTTTTGGGGTACTGAGAACTGAATCTGGGGCCTACCACTGAGCTGAATCCCAGCTCTCTTTTACTACTTTGAGTTTACAAGTACACAGAAAGGGCTCATATGTCCTGAAAGGAGAAACGAAGCAGAGCTAAAAGCACCAACAATTTGTTTTGCACAGCCACTTACTCTCAGATAAAAGGAGAACAACAGCAGAACTTCATTCCACTACCAAAACAACTTCAAGTGTAATTTGCAATTAGTTTTAGACAACAATGTGTTTCAGTTCATTTCTTCATTTGGCCTAATTCTTGAACAGACTGTTTTTGATACTTTACTTTCAATTTTAATGGCTGCATTATAAAATAGACTAAATATAGTAATAAAACACTAGAGAAGTCGGGCGGTAGTGGTGCACACCTTTAATCCCAGCATTTGGGAGGCAGCTACCCAGGGTGAAAGGTGGCTAGGGGTTCTGGTTGGAGGGTTAGGGTTAGGAGAATCCGTGAGTTTGAGGCCAGCCTGGTCTAACAGAGTGAGTTCCAAGATAGATTCCAGAAATATAGAGAAAACCTGTCTTGAAAAGAAAAAAAAAAAAAACACAAAGAAATGATAATAGGCACGACAATTGCTTTTCAGATATGTAAGAAATCACAGTGATAGTTAGAATAACTGACATGTATTTGACCAAACTTAACACCAAAAGTAGACATTTACAGTTCTAGGATAAATTTCACATTCTTCCATGATGACATTTCCCTTCTGCTTCTGTAACAGCAAAATACGTGAAGCCTCTTTATTGTCATTTCAAAAACAAAAAAACAAAACAAAACCCGCTAACCTCCACAAGCACCTGCACATACCTATGTGTACACTCATGAACCCACACACACATGCGAATAAAAAATAAGTCAAAGACTCTTTAGCTAAGGTTGCATAGACTTCACAATTTTCTTTTCCTAAGAAGAAAAAAATTCATCATAAATTTCCTAAGCCCAGGAACCTGACTTGTTTTCAAAAGGAAAACAGAACCAGTCAAACTCTTTAGAGGGTCTGGAAAATTGACCCAGTCAGTAACGCACCTGCATGAGCTCTGAAGCATCTAGATCCTAAGCATACACATAAAAAAGTCAGGCACAAGAGTTGTGTCAGGTATCTGTAACCTTAGTGGGGGGAGACGGGCCCGTTGGCCAACATTTCTAGTCAGTTGCTCTAGGTTCAACAAAAGATCCTGTCTGAAAAAAAAGAAAAAAAAAGAAGGAAGATTCCTGACACTGATCTCTGGCCTCCATACACACATATACCTATACACATGCGCACACATATATATACTAAAATACTTTTTGTAGAATGAACAAAGTAGACATTAGATGATCCCCTCAACTCAGAACATAAAGAAAACTTCAATGTGTACATGTCTGGAAAGAACTTGTACACACAAATGTGGAGGGTATGGTTAGGGTCTTCAAAATGAAAAGTGCATTCAGATCCTAACAAAAGGAAAGGAAAGGAAAACTACAGGAGATGATGACATCAGAGCACTTGTCCACTACTTGTGAAAGCAAAGGGGGAGGGAGGAAGGAGAGAGAACACAAAGATTATATGCAATTAAGAGACAAATATTTGATTTAGAGACTAGAAATGGATAAATTAACTGGTTCCACAGAAATACCAATCAAAATACCCACTTCAAGAGCCTTTAATTAAGACAAATACAAAAAATAAGAACAAACAAACATCTCCATCTATCACATCTTACCTAAACTTAACCAGGAATAAAGAAATAAGAGCCCTATTATTTAGAAATCAGCAAAAAGCAAACTAACTTAGCATAAGCACAAAGATTTTTTGCTCTTGTACACTGTAAAGATTTGTCACTTGTATTAGTTTAATAAAATACTGATTGGCCAGTAGCCAGGCAGGAAGTATAGGTAGGGCAACCAGACTAAGAGAATTCTGGGAAGAAGAAAGGCAAGTGATGCAGTCACCAGCCAGATAGAGAGAAAGCAAGATGAGAATGCCTTACTTGAGAAAAGGCACTAAATCATGTGGCTAAACATAGACAAGAATTATGGGTTAATTTAATTTGTAAGAGCAAGTTAATAATAAACCTGAGCTAATAGGCCAAACAGTTTGTAATTAATATAAGCATCTGTTTGTTTTGTTGGAACTGAACGGCTATAAGACTGGGTGGGACAGAAACTTCTGTCTAGTTTTTATATTGAACAATCAATATCAGAGGCTGGGATGTATCACATTTGATAAGAGTGCTTGCCTAAGTAGCTCTGGGTTCAATCTCCAGCACCATGTAAACACCTAGTAAATACCTGGTATGTAGGTGAGGAGGTAAATGGCTCCTGTAATCTCAGCTTTTACAAGGTGAAGATAGTAGGGGTTTTGGTGGTGGTACATACTTTGAATCCCAGCACTCAGGAGGCAGAGGCAGGTGGTTTGAAACGGAGTTCAAGAATAGTCAGGGACGGGCGGTGGTGGCACACGCCTTTAATCCTGGCACTTGGGAGGCAGAGGCAGGCAGATCTCTGAGTTTGAGACCAATTTGGTCTACAGAATGAGTTCTAGCATAGCTAAGGCTATATGGAGAGATAGACCCTATCTCAAAAACAAAACAAAATAAAACAAAACAAACTAACAAAAACCACAAAAAAAAAAAAAGAGAAAGAAAGCAGGTTGGGAAAATGGCTCAGTTAGTAAAATGCATGCCACACTAACATGAGGACCTGATTTCAATGCCTAAGACCCACATAAAAAGCCATGCAAGTTTATAATCTGAGAGCTAGGGAGGTGGCCAGCAGCCTAACATACCTGGTAAACTCCAGATCCTAGTGAGACATCCTGCCTCAAAACACTAGATGGATCAATCTTCAGGAACAGACACTGAAAGTTGATCTCTGATCTTTGTGTATACAACACACACACACACACACACACATACACACACACACACACACGACAGAAAAAAAAGAAAAAAATATATCTTATATTGAAAAAGGAGGAAACAAATTTAAAATGCTGAAAAATAAAGAAAATTTTAGGAATAACACTGACAAAAATATCTAATTACCTTTAATAGCTGAGATACTCTGAATCAGAATTCTAATGAATCTTTTAGAGAACCAAATAACTTCTAAAACCTACCATAAATTCTGGTAAGCAGTTAATAGCAGTTTAAGGGGAAACTGACAAGACACTGGCCCGGGAAGGAACACTGCGGCAGAGCACCTGCCCCAGCATGCATCCGTCACACACCCTGAGAAGGCGCCACTGAGGGGGGCAAGGTGGCTCTGTGGGCAAATATACTTCCTGCCAAGCTGTCACCCTAAGTTTGATCCCTGGGACCCAAATGGTGGAGAGAACTGACTCCCCCAAATTGTCCTCTGCTTTCTACATGTGCAGCATGACTATAAAGGGACTTTTTTTTTTAAAGCCTTGTCTGTTGGGGTCCATTGTAGGAGTATAGACCAAAATAATTATCTATTATTTAACCATGCAAAACTGCTGAAAGAAAGGGGGAAGAGGAAGAGGGAGGAGGAGGAAAGAGGGATGGAGAGAGTGTAAAGACAAAAAGAATCTTATAAGACCTCAGTTTAATCAAAGTACCTGTACTCTTTTATACAAACACACATACACACACAAGTATCTACTTAAAAAAAAATTACGTACCCCCAAAGCTACAGAGAAATTTTGTCTCAAAAAAACAACAATAAAAATTATGTACATGGGTGCTTTGCCTGCATAAATGCCTGTGCACCTCATGAGTGCCCGGTGCCCAAAGAGACCATAAGAAGTTGTTAAGTCTCCTGGAGTTAAAGATGTTTACCACAATATGGATTGGGAATCAAATCCAAGTCCTCTAGGAGAGCAGCCAGTGTTGGACTGCTAGGTCATGTCTCTAGCTCCCAAAGTGCCTCTACTCTTGTGCAGTCACTCACCCTCTGAGAAACATTTTTTCTAAGAACGAATATATGATATAGGGTAGCATACTGAATTGTTTTTATTCCTCACTAGCAGATCAACTTCACCTTCTAAAAAGTATTATGCTGTTTCTGACTTGATACAAACACCCTCATGGTTCCAAGAACTTATATGCACACAGCAACTTACAGCATAAAACAAAAATAAAGCCAAGGGCCCATTCTGGGTTTGATGTAATAGGAAGAGCAATCCTATGTCTTATTATTTCACCTGAAAGAATAAGCAAGTAGGATAATTTATCAGAAAGCACAATCATAGACACCTCTCTAAAGGGGAGAAAAATACATTCTGCCTTTCCTAAATCACAATACTAAACAATAGTTTAAAAGATTCATCTCTCCTCATTCGAATCCAAACATTTAGGAAAAGAGATTAAGTAATTTAATTGATATATCTGATAATACAAAAAAAAAAAACCTTTTCATTCCAGGCATTGTGATGCATGTCTGTATCCCAGGTCTTGGTTTACTCAGAGGTGGGAGGATCACGAGTCAGCTGGGAAGCACAGGGAGTTCCAGGTCAGTCTAAGCTATATGGTGACACCCTAGGTCTCAAATCATCCCTATCTAAACATAAAAGCTTCTGAATTCCTGGGTGCTTTCATCCCTCCTTTTTGTTTCTTGTAACAATCACAGTTGCCTAGGCCACACCACCTTCAATATTGCTTCATGAACACTCTCACATGACTTTCTCCTATTTCACTCCACTATAACTTTTATAATGATTTTTTCTATGACATCTGTACCTATGAATTTCAGTTATTTCAATGGGAAGAAGTGTAACAGAGCTTAAAGTATATCAATTGCAGCTCCTTCAGTGCAGACCTGGTGCCTCTTTTGTGAAGCAGCAGCTGAGGAGACTCCAGCGTTTGCCATGGCCGACGAGAAACCCAAGGAAGGAGTCAAGACCGAGAACAACAACCATATTAATTTGAAGGTGGTGGGGCAGGATGGCTCTGTGGTGCAGTTTAAAATTAAGAGGCATACACCACTTAGTAAACTAACGAAAGCCTATTGTGAACGACAGGATCTGTCAATGAGGCAGATCAGATTCCGGTTTGATGGGCAGCCAATCAATGAAACAGACACACCTGCACAGTTGGAAACGGAGGATGAAGATACGATTGATGTGTTCCAGCAGCAGACAGGAGGTGTCTACTAAAAAGGGAACCTGCTACTTTACTCCAGAATTTTGTTATAGACCAAGAATACATTCGCAATTAGAAAGCCGCAATTTGGTTCCACCACATCCTGACGACTACGGTATAGTTTTCTCTATTCTTTCATTTCCCTGTCCCCACTTTTTCATTGTACATAAAGTAACTGGTGTATGTGCACAAGCATATTGCAATTTTTTCTTTTTTCTTTTCTAAACTAAATGGCCGATGTTCTGTTTTGATTGACAGCAGATGAAGGTGGTCGGGGGAAGCACTGGTTCTGTGAAAATACCCCCCTGCTCCATTAGTGGCACGCTCATTCAGCTCTTATCTTTATATTCCAGGAAGTTACTTTGCTCTCAATGTTTTAACAAAAGAACCCATCCACAAAATCCTTGCACACCTTGTTCGATTGGAGAATTTTAATGTTTTTCATTTATCATTGTAAAACCAAGGACAATTTCATAACTTTTTTGTATGTAGCTGTTACATGCAGGGCAATCTGCCTTTAAGTAGGGATAAATTACTCTTGAACAAAATGATCCTAGATAGTTTTTCCTTCAAGTCAAGTGTCTTGTTGTTTAAATAAACTTCTTCTTTGAAAAAAAAAAGAATATCAATTGCTTATTTCTTAAAATACTACTGTAAATGCAAATAAAGCAAGTTGGCAGTTTTTAAAATTTGCAATTTACCATGATAAACCTCTAACTTAAAATTGCTAGGGTATAAACTAAAATTATTTAACTGTCTCACCCAAATGTGTCAAAGCATGCCAAAATTCTCAAACATGCTGGCAGAAATGGTGACGATCAATGAACAAGTATTTTGGAATTACTATACAGCTGTCTAACAGAAAACCAATAAGGAACAATGGAACCCACAAGAAAATGCAAGAGCTAGCCGGGCTGTGTTGGCGCCCACCTTTAATCCCAGCACTCAGGAAGCAGAGGCAGGCGGATCTCTGAGTTCAAGGCCAGCCTTGTCTACAAAGTGAGTTTCAGGACAACCAGTGCTGCATATACACACATATAGATTAGATATAGATATATGTCACCTACTATACAACAGGCATTGTTGTAAGAATTCATATATGCATATACATTTATAATACTGAGATAAGGGCTATACTTCTAATTTTATAGATGTGGATTTGAAAGATTATAAAGATTTCCAGTCAAGATTGCATAGTAAAATTTCCCAAATAAAATTGTATATGAAATTGTGTTAAATAAGCTGGACGGTGGGGCCTCACGCCTTAAATCCCAGCACTCAGGAGGCAGAGGCAGACAGATGTCTGAGTTTGAGGCCAGCCTGCTCTACAGAGCAAATTCCAGGTAAACATAGTGAGACCCTGTCTCAAAACAAACAAACAAAAAAAGTGTCAAATAAATAAATCTTGGCTGGCGCAAAACATCTTGTAATACCTTTCAGATTGTGGGGGACTATAAAAAGAAAGCAGGGCTGAACCCAGGAACCTATGAGGCAAGAAACAGGCATGGCAGTGGGAGTTTGGCTTCTTTGGGGAAACAGGAATTTAGAGTATTCCACGTAAGATAGAGAAATCTACAGAGGTTGGGGTAAGACACCTCATAAAAGCGTGAGGAGGATATAGTGGCACACAACTACATCCAGACTGGGGAGATATGGTTTTAAAAACCAAAACAAACAAAAATACCAACATTGCCTAGAGGTTGGCTTGAAAAAGAGTAACTTGGGAGGGGCACAAACAGATGGTTCAGTAGGCAAGAATACTTGCTGCCAAATGTGACAACCTGAGTTCTATCCCTGGGACCCACATGGTAGTAAGTAAGAACTGACTTTTTTTTTTTTTTGAGCTATATATTACTCCGCTCCCCTCCATCCTCCTCCTCCCCTTCTACCCTCTCCTGTGACCCCCATGCTCCCAATTTACTCAGGAGATCTTGTCTTTTTCTCCTTCCTATGTAGATCCTTAGGGTCCTCTTTGTTTTCTAGGTTGTGAAGAGTTGTGGGCTGTAGGTTGGTTGTTTTTCTTTGCTTTATGTCTCCTTATGTCTAGAAGCCATTTATTAGTGAGTACATATTATATTTGTCTTTCTTGGTTACCTTACTGAATATGTTTTTTTCTAGATCCATCCATTTGCATGCAAATTTCAAGATATCATTATTTTTTACTACTGTGTGGTACTCCATTGTGTAAATGTACATTTTCTTTATCTAACCATTCTTCGGTTGAGGGGCATCTAGGTTGTTTCCAGGTTCTGGCTATTACGAATAATGCTGCTATGAACATAGTTGAACAAATGTCCTTATGGCATGATTAAGCATCCTTTAGGTACATACCTAACAGCAGTATTGCTGGGTCTTGAGGAAGATTGTTTATAATTTTCTGAGAAATACTGATTCCCAAAGCAGCTGTAGAAGTTTGCACTGCCACTAGCAATGGAGGAGTGCTTACCTTATCCTACATCCTCGCCAGCATAAGCTAACATCAATGGTTTTTATCTTGACCATTCTGACAGGTGTAAGACGAAATCTCAGAGTTGTTTTAATTTGCATTTCTCTAATGACTAAGGATGTTGAGCATTTCTTTAAGTGTCTTTCAGCCATTTGAGATTCGTCTTTGGAGAGTTCTATGTTTAGTTCTGTACCCCATTTTTTTTTATTGAATTATTTGTTCTTTTGATGTCAAGTTTCTTGAGTTCTTTGTATATTTTGGAGATCAGTCATCTATCCAATGTGGAGTTGGTGAAGATCTTTTCCCAATCTGTAGGTTGTCGTTTTGTCTTGTTGACCATGTCCTTTCCTTTAAAGAAGTTTCTCAGTTTCAGGAGGTCCCATTTATTAATTGTTGTTCTCAGTGTCTGTGCTACTGGGGCTATATTTAGGAAGTGGTCTCCTGTGCCAATGCAAGAACTGACGTTTTTATGTTATCCTCTGTCCTTCACATGTGTGGAGAAGTAAGCATCTACACTTGTGTCCACAGCCACACACAAAATAAATAGGTGTTAAGAAAAACAATAAAAGAACTCCCAGAAATCCCTGGAGAACTCAGGGTCTCTTACTGATCTTTTTGGCTAGACTGGATGGGCAGGGAGCTCCAGGATCCCACCAATATTAGGGTTATAGGAACACACCCCATACAACATGGGTGCTGAAGAGCTGAACTTAGGTCCTTATGCCCGCACAGCAAGCACTATGCCCAGTAAGCCATCTCCCCAATCCCTCACTGTATATTCTTAAATAGCAACTTAAGTTTAAGCCATCACTATCACAGAAGGATATGTTCTAAAAAGAAGGCAAAATTGAATTGAAGCAGTTTAAAACTGAAAGTTAAGAGTCTGAGATCTGGGGGCAAACTAAATGTGAATTCTTGTTTCCACCACTTACGCTGCAATCTTGGGAAATTGTTTATTCTCGATACCTCAGTTTTTAACTGGAAGATAAAGATAAAAGAGCAACTTGTAAGGGTTGTTGAGAGGACTAAATTGGTAAGTAGATGTAAGCTACTGAGAACAATCCTGTACCACATCATTAACTACTGCTAGAGTTATTACCAAACACCCTGCAAGACTATCATTGCTTACATGTAGATTAAAAACAAAAATGTTCTTCCAAGCAGATCAAGAGACCTTAATGTTCCTGAACCAATGAATGATTCCATATACAAAACTCAAGAAGTAACTCTATAAAACACAGCCTTTAAAGTATTCATTTTGTCATTTAAGTTACCAAAGCCCCCAATAATCAACAGCAAATGTTTAAGTCCAAAATTCAATATGAATTATCACTGTGGCATGAAACTTTGAAAAGTCATTTACTTGAAATAACTGTGTTCATTTTAAATTATAAATTAGCCTTGTTATTACAGATCAAGTTAGTAAGTCTAGATCCATATGCAGCAATAAAATATACTATTTTACTATATATTTATAAGATATTTAGGACTTTGGGAAATGGTTCAGTCACAATAAAGTGTTTGTTGTGCATGTATGAAGACCTGGGTCTGGATCCCTAGCACCCACGTAAAAAGCAGAGCACGACAGTGCACACCGACAATTCTAGCACTGAAGAGGTAAAATAGGAGGGCCACTGGAGCATGCTGGCCAGCCAGTGTACCAGAATTAATATGCTACAGATTCATGAGAGACCCTGTCTCAAAAATGGAGTAAGGGATGGAAGGGACGGGACTGGAGAGATGGCTCAGTGGTTAAGAGTACTAGCAGCTCTTCCAGAGAATCCAGGCTCAATTCCCAGCACCCAGTTCTCACAACTATCCGTAACTTCAGTTGCAGACAATTCAACACCCTCTTCTGTCCTCCACCAGCACCAGGCACGCATGTGGTACACAGACATACACAAAATACCCATATGCACAAAATAAAATAAAAATTTTAAAAAAATGTCTAAATACAGTAGAGAGTAGATAATGAGATACCTAGCATTTACTTCTGGCCTTTGTACATAGGCACACACACACAAACATGTACGCCCCCTTTCTATAATGGTCCCCTGAGCCTCAGGCACAGAAGCTATGTTGTAGATATGAAAGTTGGAACTGGACTATACAACTCTGCATTTTGATTGGTTGTTTTTCTGTAACGCTTTCCATTTATTGCAAGGAGAAATGTCCTTGATGAGGTGTGAAGACTTCGCTTGTCTGTGGGTATAGGGACAAATATTTATATTGTAATTACAGATTAGACTGATTTAGTTAAAAAAAAAAAAGTGGCTGTTTCCATCACTAAAAAGGAAATACTTAGCTGAAGACTGAACCCAGGTTAAGCTCAGGCTCTATCACTAAACCTCTACTTAACCCTTATAATCATATTTTAAGTGTTCCAGTGATCGACAATGTTGAATTCACCAAATATACACAAAATTCAAAAATCAGTTACTACTTTCTCCCCATTATAGTAGCAAATATTTTAAATAATATTCATTCAGGGCTGGAGAGATGGCTCAGTGGATAAAAGCAGTTCCAGAAAACCCAGGTTCAATTCCCAGCACCTACATGGCAGCTCACACCTGTCTGTAACTCCTGTTCCGGGGGTCTCACTCCCTCACACTGACATACATGCAGGCAGAATACTAATGAACATTAAATAAAAATACATATCAGCCAGGCAGTAGTTCCCGGTCAGCCA